TCCCCCTGAAGTTGTGTAAGGAGCAGCCTACACAATTGTACAGTGGAATACTAGTTCTTGACTCTTTCTGATGCTCAAGAAAGAGAAAGTTTGTATGCGCCTTGATGTGAATAATAATAATAACATAAGGTCACTTCATATTAAAGTGGGCCTTTTACACCTTTTTTTTTTTTTGAAGCTTGGTGACAGAAGTGATTAACTCTTCTTTAAGCACTTCCTGTGGGCTAGCACTCATCTATGTGCTTTCAACCTATTAGTTCATTTAATCCTCACAACAAACCTAGAAGGTAACTAGAATTATTATCCCCATTTTACAGATAAGGAAATTGAAAGATTGAGTGATGTTCCCGAGTTATACAACTGGTAAATGGTGAGACTGGGATTTTAATTCAGGGATTCAAGATCTGGTGTCCAATTTCATATTGCTACACTTAAGTATATTTAAATTAAGCATTTGAGAATATCCAACTTGTTGAGAATATCTAGTATATGTTTTTCTTAGCATCTCCATCATGATACAAGGCTTAACTTTCTAAATTGAGTTTACTCAATCAGTTATTGAAAACTGAACTGACCAAAATTAAATAGGTAATTTCTAAATATTAAACATATACCATTTTTGTTTCATTAAGAAATTTGTCCTGATAAATACAAAGCTTGTTAGAATGTTTTGGGGGTTTTAAATTTTAATTTTAAATAGTTTATATATATTTGTAATAGAAAGAGAGAGACTACATACATATACATATATGCTATGAGATATCATAAAAGACAAATCACTCATTTTTTCTTTATGTGAGATTTATTCATCAAACATGTATTGAATGATCTTTATGATTGAACTCATTAATAATCATTGTATCTAACCAATTATAAAAATAATACCATCAGCCTATATATTATATTTTCCAAAAATAATTAATAAATTTAAGAAATCATGTTTAAAACTTATAATGATTTTTTTGAGTCACCTAATTCACTTTACAAATTTCCCACAGGGGAGTGGATGTGATCCACTCTTATCCCATTCTAGACATGAGAGAGAGCTACCTTAGGCCAGCTAGCACTAGCTCCATGATCTAAGGCATAGTCTAACAGTCTATCCCTCCACACAATAAAGTTTGATGTAACTCTAAACAAATTCTTGACCAAACTCAATAAATGACAGTTGTTATTATAAATGCACTTTTAAAAACTAGTCACCCATATCTTCAAAATATATTTATTGTGTACCTACTATATTCAATAGGAACATTAATGATAAAATTATATACATTTATTTAACAAATAGGGCATATAGATATTAAATTACTTTATTTCGTATATTATTTTATTAATTTAATCATCTGATTTGCTTTCAATAAAATATTTATTTTTATGTATACGAAAGTATTTAGGCCACATTAATGCTTTAAAAATCATATAACTAAAATTATTAGGGTGCCTGGGTGGCTCAGTCAGTTACGCATCCAACTCTTGATTTCTGGCCAGGTCATCATCTCACTGTGTAGGACAGCTGAAGCCTGCTTAGGATTCTCTCTCTGCCCTTCCCCACTCACACACATACACAAGCATGTTCACAGTCTCACTCTCTCTCAAAATATAATTAATAATATAATTAATATAATATATCAAAATAACCAGGAAACAAGATAAAGAAAAAGAAAAGTATAGGAATTCTCAAGATAAGTAGTGTTTAATCCACATTTGTCTTTCCAATCAAAGCAACCAGAAAAGACAACTTAGTTGATTTATATTGTCAGAAAACTATTGAAATATTTATTAAATACTGAAAATAATTATATATAAGTAACTAAAACCACTAAGTAACTAATATGCATATTAATTATCTAAAATAATAAAGTTTTTCAAAAGCACTATTCTAAGTTAAATAAGGCTATGACTATATTTTTAAATATTTAAGAAACATTACAATACTCATAAGTTTTTTTATTAACTACCCCATATTCCTAAAAGCACAAATACCATCAGATTTCACAATATCCCCTAAAATTAGAGAACATTCTTGGTCTGACTTTCAAAGAGAGATGAGGAAGAGTGAAGGTTTGATTGAATAACTTCTAAAGGCTCTGATTCAGTGTAAAGATTGAACAAATAAGAAACAATGTTCATTCTCCATAGTTTATAAAGTTTGTACTCCCTTTGCTTCCCAGGAAAAAAAGTATGCCTTAATGTCTATTAGAAGAATCATTCTCTATAGGACTAGTGCAAGCATGATTCATATTTTCTGGATGACTCTTTCTAATTTTCCTGTAAAGGGAAGTGTGCCTGGCCCAACCCTCCCCTCACATGGGGCTGAGTCGTCTTTATGAACTGAGAAATTAGGTCAATTATGACAGTAATTGGGTATTCTCTCCCAAGTAACTCATGACAATGTTTAAGAAAGAAAAGCAAAACTGTAAAATCATTTTGAGACCTATAATAACCATATGTAATAGTCACTTTTCATGACAATTTGCACAAATTCTGCACAAATATTTCAATGAAATTTTTTAATGGAAGGGTCCCGGCATCCTATGTCTGATATGGTTACTTCTTAGGTTCAGAGTTTGACCTGCCTCTTTATTATAACCTTCCAAAATCAACAATGTAATGAATCTACATTGTTTCAGGAGTAACCTCAGCCTTTAGCAGGAAGAAATCTAAATTGACTATCCTATAAATTTATTTCTACCACCAGGTTTTTTTCTATTTATTTATGCCAAGTTTGGTTAAAATCTACTGTAGTGATGAACTACACACTTTGGAGGCAGGCTGCAGAGGCTCAAATCCTGGCCCTACTGGGGCTGTTGGCTGAGGCAAGTATTCACTGTCACCTGTCTCCATTCTTCATCCATAAAATAGACTACAAGAATAGTATCCCCATCAGATAGCTACTCTAAGTATAAATGAGATAATAAAGATCTATAAATAGCAACTGACACAAAAACCATAATAAATTTTAACAACTAATATTACTCTAATTCTTTTTCTTCTGATTTATTTTTCAAATCTTTTCCCTACCAGATTCTTTTCACATAAGATAATCGGCAAATCTGCAAAACCTTATTAAAAGTCTGCTGAGGGAAAGGTATTATAATAATTGCAAGAAAAAAAAAGCAAATGCAAGCAAAAAATAACATGGAAGCATTAGAGTGTTTACAATTCTTTTGGCCTAACATCATAATGCACACAAAACAATAAGAAATAGTAAATCATGACAAACCCTTATAAGTTAAACTTCCTGGTACAAAATATGTGCTGAAAAAACTCAGAAATAAGACATCAGTGTGGACAGTTTCATGGAGATTGTTGGAACGTGAATTGATCTTAAAGGATGAGTAATATTAAAGTGGGTAAAGGGGAGATGTCACTTTACACCAGTTAGAATGCCTAAAATTAAAGTGGCAAAAAACAAAAAGTTTTGGCAATGATGTGGGGGAGAAGGAAACTTCATACACTATTGTTGGGAATTAAAATTGGTACAGCCTCTATGAAAAACAGAATGGAGGTTCCTCAAAAAATTAAAAATAGAATTATCATATGATCCAAAAATTCCACTATTCAGTATTTGCCCAAAGAAAAAAAAAGTCACAAAGATATATGCATCCCTATGTTTATTTCAGCATCATTTATAATAGCTGTGATATGGAAGCAACCTAAGTATCTATCAATAGATGAATGGATAAGGAAGATGTAGTGGAATATTATGCAGCCATAAAAAGATGAGATCATGCCATCTGAAATAACATGGACGGACCTAGAGGGTATTATGCTAAACGAAATAAGTCAGACTGAGAAAGCCTAATTCCATATGATTCTACTTATAAGTGGAATCTAAATAAGAAAAGAAAAGAATAAACCACATGGGCTGGGGGCTGGGGCTGGATGAACAGACACCTCCCCCTGCCCGTACCCCTCCTGTGTGTGGTTGGAAAACTTTTTGGTTTTGGGGGGGGGTGGTTTCTAAATAAAAAAGATCCTACTAAAAAAAAAAAGAATAAACAAGCAAAAGCAGAATCAGAGCTGTCAATACAGAGAACAAACTGATAATTGCCAGAGCAGAAAATGGTGGGGGGCTGAGCAAAATGAATGAAGGGAAATGGGAGATACAGGAATGAATAAATCACAGGAATAAAAGGCACAGCATAAGGAATAGTCAATGATGTTGTAAAGGCAATGTAACAGGACAGACTGTGGTGAACAAAGTACACTACCCTTGTGGTGAACACAGCATAATGTATAAAGTTGTCAAATCGCTAAGTTGTATATCTGAAACTAATATAACACTGTCAACTATACTCAAATTTTTAAAACCATGCATTCCAGGTAGAAAATAAAATAAAATGCAACACAAATGAAGTTTTTATATGTTCTTGAAAAGGTAAAGACCCTAGCCTGCCTGACTTCATTCTATCCTCATCTAATTTTTTCAGATCAGTACAAAAACTAAGTTCAACATTTAAGGTGAAATAACAGGGCAGAGATTAGCAGATCTGTGTCCCACAGTAAACAGCACTTATGAGTGGAATAGTATATCTCCATCTTTTATGTTCTTCTCTAAACCTGACTAGTTCTAGTCCATCTTCTACACCCTTGTACAACTAAGAAAATGCCTTACCCTGTAACTGCAGCCAGCTAATAGCTTATCACAGTGATGCTCGCCACTGTTTCCCAAAGCAGTATCTCCCCCAGTTCCTGGAAACTATTCATAGAACAGCCAGGTAAGAAATGTCAGGTTGTTGCAACTGGCTGTTTGCCAGAGTTCTGCATAGTTCGATAGGTTCTTTTGTATTTCATTGAAATTGTGTAGTCAGATTAAAAAACTGGAAGAACTTGTTTCTATTGAGAGTATTTTCTTTTTCCTGGGAGGATTTTACCTGCTTCTCCAAATCTACTTCTTTGAAATAAGAACAAACCACAATATGAATAAGATTATCTTATGCAATTACTTATTCGAAGAATTCATATTTAATTTGACTTTATTTAAATGTCTACAGGTGCTCCTATTTGTTCATGGAGAATTGCGAATAGAGGTAAAGTATGCAAAAGTTTATGTAATTAAAATAATAGTTTAGTTTAAAAATGAACATTGTATTTGAGAAAAATAAGTATTTATTTAATGTCTAAAACTGTTAAATAATTTAATTGTGAAAATTAAATTAAAACTAACCCAATTTTAAATACCAACACAGTACAAATGTCATTACTGTACTTTTATCTCATGCATGCTTCCTTCCTATTATTTTTCTTCTTATTTTAAATAAATCAACAGGTTTTTTCTTAAACAGGTCCTAGGTACCCAGAGGAGTGAGATATTGTGGAATATATAAATGAAATATAAAAATGATTAAATCCTAATATTAAAAATCATATGGTTCTGTAATTGTTTTAGTTATTTAATATTTCTTCTCTGCTTGACAAAATGTGAGGCCAAGCACAGAAACAAAGGGGGCTCCTCAACCTAGGTGTTAATAATCAATACTCATAGCAAAACCTTCCAACAATGTGCATAATAAAATGGGATGCCTTTTCACATAAGACAAAAGGTCAACACGGAGAAGATGAGACTGCAATACAAGGCAAAAGGAGATATAAACGTGAATGGGTGAAATTTGCAAAACCCTGCAGAGAAAGAGAAGACAACTCGAAAAGAAATCCAATTGCCAAGGTAAGTCATATCAGGAGGGGCAATATGAGTTTTTAGAATACATGTAACAGATGTAAATTAAAATGATATGGCAATTCCATTTAGCAAAATGCAGATTGGGGAGTCCACAGAGAAAATAACCTGGTATCTTCAGCCAAAAAATACAATAATAATAATATACAGAAAGATGAAGGAACTATGGTTTCTAGGGTATTAAAAAAATAGTTAAGACACATGTGGACCAATTTCTATGAATAAGCCTTTTGCAAATAGCAAAAGATATACGGATAAGACAATGAGAAAAATGGTTGAGAGTCCATGTATTCATAATTATTAAAACTGGGTGATGAGATATGTCAGGGTCATTATACTACTATTACTTTCTGTATATTTGAAACTTTCCATTTTAAAAAGATTAAAAATTATAATAATAAAAAATAAAATAATAATAATAAGCAATTTATTTTAATACCTATTTGTAACACTGTATAATCCCTTTCCTCTTTTTCTCTCCAGCCCCTCTTATTTAAACTAAAATAAATGTGTTTCTTTTTTTAATTTTATCTATTAAGGAAGGGAGCATTCAGAAGTAGTCTTGTCAATATTAAGTACCCATGACTTCTAGCCTTTTAACATCACCATGGCAACCACAATCTGAGCAAACATTCTAAAGCCAAAATGATTAACATATATTGGTCTATACTGCTCAACAGAAGCAACAATTTGAATTATTTCACATTCCTAGTATTTATCAAGGCAAAAAGTAACCATCAAGGTGTCAGAAAGAGTAAATAAAATCAACAGATGACTTTAGATTATGAAGGTGGAGAAAAGGGGAAGGAAAAGGTCTAAAGAATGATCACATTAACATTTTGGGTATTTGGGGCTTCAGATTACTTCAGATTTCCAAGCAAGCCAGAAAATAACCTACAAGATTTCTGGAATGGGAATTGATCAACCCCCTTTTGGAATCTTTGTTGTTGACAAAAACACTGGAGAAATTAACATAACGGCCATAGTCGATCGTGAGGAAACTCCAAGCTTCCAGGTAAATTCGTGTCTTCAATATTGGCACCCTTACATTCGTGCCTGGTGGCTTTAGAATGTGATACTCTTCTACTTGTTAAGTTAGAAGAGAGATCAGCACATGAATCAATCCACCAACAAATAACAATATTAGTTCCTCTATGAAGAGCTTCCATTTATGGTTGTGCCCCTGAAGGAATATAGCAGGAGGGTGCATTAGTAGGCACTGAAATCCAACATGCATCCTGCAAAGTGGTTCACCTTGCCATGAGACACTGCCAGCTTGGAAGAAGGGGCAGCTTGCCTAATTGGTCTGCCCAAGGTGGCCACTTTTTCTTACTTTGTCTACTTGTTGGGAAAATATTTTTCTTCTTTGCACAAAAGATCTGTGCATGCGAGCAGAAGCCTTATTTCTACAAGTTTTAACAGTATCCAAACTGAGTTTGTAGAGTAATGAGTGACTTTCCCCTCCTTTTTCTAGATAACCTGTCATGCTCTGAATGCCCAAGGACAAGATGTAGAGAAACCACTTATATTAACAGTTAAAATTTTAGATGTGAATGACAATCCTCCAGTATTTTCACAAAGTATATTCATGGGTGAAATTGAAGAAAACAGCGCATCAAGTAAGTCTTTTTACAATACCTACCACTTCTAATCTTTTTCATTTTAAAATACAAGGATCACTATAGTTTATCATTTTTAGAAGCTAATTTATTGTCTTAGTTTCACCAATAGTTTTGCAGAAAAATTCCTCAAAATAACCTGGGTCTTCCTTTCTAATATTTGTACTTGAGCTAATTATCCACTACCATTGTATTTCTAGGCTGCAATATTGTTATCAAGTCAACAGTACCTTATTCTATATATTTAAGTCACATGAGTACTTGGCAGTAGTCATAACACTAAAAGGTTAGGTTTAGGTAGCTTGGCTGCATCAGATGGACTTTTTTAGATTATGAAGGACAGAGACACACAATTACTTGGATAATGTGGGAAAAAGAAAGAATGATAATGCCATCCATGAGGGGAAGAAGTAAAGACGGAAGGTGTAAGGAAATGAGAACGGAAGGCGGCACACTTCTACCTGATTGAGACAGTAAGAGATATTTAAAAGACATGTAATTTGTTTTTGAGCATACATAGACTTAAGATTTTTAAAAACAAAGGTCAGTTTGGAATGGTGTTGAATATTTAGTGTGAACAGAATGTCAGTCTTTAAATATTCTTTAATGAACTACTTCTGTATTCCTAGACTCTCTGGTGATGATACTAAATGCCACAGACGCGGATGAACCAAACCACCTGAACTCTAAAATCGCCTTCAAAATTGTCTCTCAGGAACCTGCAGGCACACCCATGTTCCTCCTAAGCAGACATACTGGCGAAGTCCGTACTTTAACCAATTCTCTTGATCGAGAGGTAAAGTAAAGCACTTGGGAATATTCAGACAAAGGATTTGATTATAAGAAAGCCAAGAGAGGTGATCTCATTTTACCTAAGAATGAAAGGAGAAAGCAAAAAAGGTTCTCCATACTCAACTAGGCCAATCTAGGGAAACTGTTTGCATTCCAGTGTGATTCTAGCGGGGTGAGATGCGTTCCTCAGACCTGTAGAATCAATTGCACCCCAAATAAACAAGTATCAGCATTCCAGTAAGAGGTAAAGTGGAGAGTAAAAGGAGGCATCAAAGCTTCCAGGGACAAAAACTGAAATGTAATTTATTCCTTATATGGTGGAGGAAAATGAAAATTATCAGATGGAGGAAGAAATTACTTTCTGGAATAAAAGCTTTCTCTGATGTTCCACTTTTTCTACTGAATAGTTTTCCTTTGTCCCTGCTTCCTGAACACTAAAGAACCCCCTTCCTCTCTTCCCCATCATTGTACCACCATAACTACCATCACCAGCACCACTATCTTTATCACCACACAATACCCAAGCTGACTTTCTATTACTTCTATGCAAATGGTTCTCTGAAGAGACCAAAAGGAAAGCTCTATAAGTGAACTTTCCTTAAATAAGCATCCCACCATCCTCATTGCCCATTCTTGCTCCAACTGCACTTTCTTGCCCTAAGAAACTCATAAAAGCGAAAACCTGTTTTTGCCCCATAAAAACTTACCCAACCCTCCAGAGCCCCCCATGCTTCCTCTGTGATGAACAAGGAACAGCTCATGTTATCCTTCTTGAGAATAAACTATGAACTTGAATATTTTCACCCCCATAGGAAACAGGTAGTTGTTATTTGTATTCTTGGTGCTGGAGATTAATTATGTTTATTTTTCTCCAAATTTAGCAAGTTAGCAACTATCGTCTTGTTGTGAGTGGTGCAGACAAAGATGGAGAAGGACTATCAACTCAATGTGAATGTAGTATCAAAGTCAAAGATGTCAATGATAATTTCCCAAAGTTCAGAGAATCTCAGGTACACCTTGACTTCTTGAAGAATAATTTATGTATATTTTTTATTTTATACTAAAATACTACCATCCTATCGTATTTATACAATATATTGCCATCCTAATTCAGTATTCACCTGCTTGCTGGCTTCTATTTACATTGTGTGAACTTTTCTTAAAAAATAAGCTTTTGTAAAATACAAGACTTTAGTAACCAGCAAGAGGCAATACATAACTTGAGAATTAATGATTAATACTATTCAGAATAAATATAATCTCTTTAGATAAAACCTGACAATAACTCTTAAATTCTGCTTCTCTCCTTTTTAGTATTCAGCACAAATTCAGGAAAATACTTTAAGTTCTGAGTTGATTCGATTTCAAGTTATAGATTGGGACGAAGAATTCACAGATAATTGGCTTGCAGTGTATTTCTTTACCTCTGGAAATGAAGGGAATTGGTTTGAAATACAAACTGATCCCAGAACCAATGAAGGTATCCTGAAGGTGGTTAAGGTAAGGTCTATTTCTCTTCAGTGGTAAAAAAAGATAATCCATATTAGCCCAATCTCTATCATTTCTATGAATAAACTTTATTCACTTATTAATAATAAACTTCTTCTTTACAGAAAATTATGAAAACACATAAAAGTAGATAGAATTTTTTAAAGACACAGACACAGCCCCAATACCTAAGGACAGCTTTTTTTAAATGTATTTTTTAAGCTTATTTATGTTGAGAGAGAGAGAGAGGGTGGAGAAGGGAAAAAGGGAGAGAGAGAGAGAGAGAGAGAGAGAATTCCAAGCAGGCTCTATGCTGTCAGTGCAGAGCCCGACATGGGGCTTGAATTCACATACTGTGAGACTATGACCTGAGCCGAAACCAAGAGTCAGAAACTTAACCAACTGAGACACCCAGGTGCCCCAGGATGTTTTTTTTAAACATGTTGATTTATTTCTTTCCAAGCTATCATACTTTCTATAGTAAACACAAATGCACTAACATACATATATTTATAGGTAGCCGGTTTTAAACACCAGAATGTAATACACATTTCTTAACTTAATCCATTTACTCTTTACAATTAAAGTTAGGAAAAGATAAGAATACATTGTATTGTGGCTTGTGAATTTGTCATCTTGTGTTAAGTGGGTTAACTACAGTCATAAGAGGGGGAAAATAATTTGGAAAATGGGAATATATCATTCAATCTGCAAGATAAAAAATAATTGAGTAAACCTTCCATTTAACATGCTTGGCTATAACAAACATCCCCGACCCCCCACCCCCACAGAATCCAATCTGAAATAATGTAGGGTAAGGGTATTTCTGCCTGGACACTATATAGAATAGAAAAAAATAACCACTGCTTGAAAACATTCCTTGGCACAGGACACTGGACTATCTGGGACCTTCTTTCTTTATTTCCTTGAGTCCAGTAGACTGTCAGACCCATAATATGCCCTTAACAAGGAAACTGCTGGAAGATCTCATTGCTGGAAGCTGTGCAAACAGCTCCTATGACTCTGTTTTTCAGAGAGAGGGCTGAAGCCATCCATTGCAAGGGTGTATTATAAACTCCCAGCAATCCCTAAAAATGTCGTATTCCCTCTCCTGTATCAGTGTCACCTAGTTTCCAAACTAGAAACCTGGGCTTTATCCTTCAATCATAGCATTTCCTCACAACAAACAGCCAGTCTTCCAATTCTGCCCTGGAATTGTCCTTTATGTCTGGCTCTGGTCTTCCTTCTGCAGGCCTGTGCTCTAGCTGGCCTTGCCTCCTTGCCCCTAGATGTCCATAATCCTCCTGACAGATGTCCTTACCTCCTGTTTATGCCCACTTCATTCTCCTACTGTCACCAGTCTATTACTATGCTTTTCTTAAAACCAATTCGGGTCACTCTGTTCTTTAAAACCTTTCCTTGTTCTCCATTGGCTGTGAAAGTGGCCTTCAACTCTTTTCTTTTTTTAATTTATTTATTTTGAGAGAGAGAGTGAGAGAACATGTTGTGCATGAGTGAGAGAGAGGCAGAGAGAGAGAGAGAAGGAGAGAAAGAATCCCAAGCAAGCTCCACGGTCAGTGCAGATCCCAGCATGGGGCTCAATCCCACAACTAGGAAACCATGACCGAAGCCAAAATCAAGAGTCAGTTGCTTAACCAACTGAGCCACCCATGCACCCCAACCTTCAACTCAACTTTTATTGCTCATTTGAATCACCTGCAACTTTTCTTCACCTGTGGGAATTTAGGAACTAGGGGCTCCGTTGGTCTGTGGGGAAGCCCAGGCAAGGGAAGGTCTTAAATGCTCCTCAGAGAACTCTAATCGCAGCTAAGATTGATGACCAGCCGCTGGCCTTAAAGATGACATTCAGGCCCCTCTGAATTATATGCAAGGCCTCTCACCATCTGCAGCCAGCTCCCTGTCACTTTCTGTAGCACTGAGCATTTGCAAACACTTGAACCTCTGCCTAAAAACTCCTCCTCATCTTTCAACACCCGGTTCACTTGAAATATCTCAGAAGGTTTCCTACCTGTCACAAGTAGAGGTATTCGCTCACTTTTGTGCATAGATTCTATAATTTCCCTTGTTATTTTCCCCTTGTATTATAATTACCTATTTATACTTTCTCTTCCACTCCCTGGGGAATGCTTGAGCTCACAAAACTAGTCATTGCAAACTTAAAACTCAAATCCAGATCTCTTTCCTTAGTCATTTTCAGTAATATATAACTGTGTCCCCAATAAATATCTCTTTATCTCATCACACTCAAAACACATATTAGTGAATGGAAGAAGCTTTCCTGGGATTCCTCAGGCCTTGATGTGGGCCACCTCAAAAAGAGGTTCAAACAAATAGTTTTCCTACAAGACCATCTGAAAATGTTTCTACAAAGAGTGGGGGGATCACCCACCCACTGCGTTTCAGATGCACATTGGCCAACCAAGTTGATTATAATGGTTTTCCTTTGCCACCTAGGAATTTTTAAATCAGGAAAGACTCTATTTCACATAAATCCAATAGCTATTCTCTGAGTGGCTACAATTGCCATTTTTAGGAATGTATTTGAGGACAAAATTTGTGCAGTCCTCACAACAATCTGATGAGGTAAGATTTGAGCTTTTTTTCAGAAGTGAAATTTGAGAATCAGAGAAATTAAATATTGTGCTATGAGTCACACAGCTATTAGGCCACAAAACCAGGATTCAAACCATGCTACCATAGCAAATCTGGATTCTTTCCATCGCATCACAGAGCCTAAAGGAGCTATAATGATGTTTTAGTAGTCTAAAAACGGGTACCTTGTTTTGGAAGTATCGGTTAAGAAGCTAAGGTCTTACGAGCTAAAAATTTTAATAATTTCTCTATCTCAACATTACAATGATTTCTGAAATTGTCTTGCTATATAGAAATAAAAGCAGCCATTCATAGTATGTAACATAAAGTTTTCCTCTTCTGGTTTTGCCAGATTGCATTTCTGTGATACATCTTTCCTTCTAATTCTTTTTACTCTAGGCTTTAGATTATGAACAACTACAAAATGTGCAACTTGGTATTGCTGTCAGAAACAAAGCTGAATTTCACCAATCAGTAATCTCTCAGTATCGAGTCCAGTCAACCCCAGTCACAATTCAAGTGGTGAATGTGAGAGAAGGAATCACATTCCGTCCTGCTTCCAAGACATTTACTGTGCAGAAAGGCATAAGTACTAAAAAATTGGTCAATTACGTCCTGGGAAAGTATGAAGCCACTGATGAAGACACTGGCAAAGCTGCCTCATCTGTCAAGTAAGATTGTTTGTACATTCAAACTACTCTTTCATGTAGTTTTCATTTATAAGCTACTACAAAATAACACCTAAACTATTGCATGCCAAGAATACAAAGAGATACAAAGTGGCCAACGCAAGGAACTGGCTAACTCAAGAAGAGACATGTAACCAAATCACAGAACATACTCAGCTATGAGCATAGATAACATGAGCATAAGTTAAAGTAGAAAGTAAGAGAAGAATGCCTTAGACTGTCGAGAAAAATCAGGAAAAGATTTCACAGAAACTTTCAGTTGAGTCTTTAAAAAGAGTAGAAGTTGACCAGAAGACCATGGTACACAGCACATACAAAACATACATGCCCCAAATATGAGAATACCATGCAAAGTAGTTACTGTAAAAGCAAGGACACAATTTTTTTTATTGCACAGGCTAATATTTACAGATTAGGAATTACTGCTTGTCCATGCTAATATGCTAATTTTCTGCTGCTGTTTATAAAAGTATTTTTCAACATCTTAAATTAAGCATTAAATATAAAATGAGTCATTTTCATTAAATAAGTACACATTCCATATTTGAAAGAAAACTATTGTCTTTTCTATCATAAAACAGGTACATCATGGGACGTAATGATGGTGGTTTGCTATTCATTGATTCCAAAACTGCTCAAATCAAATTTGTCAAAAACATCGATCGTGATGCTACTTTCATAGTTAACAAGACAATCACAGCTGAGGTTCTGGCCATAGATGGTAAGAAAAATATTTCAAAATGGGGCCCCTGGCTGCATAGAGCATGTGATTCTTAACCTTGGGATTGTGAGTTGGGTGTAGAGATTACTTAAAAAATAAAAATCTTTAAAAAATTATTTCAACAATTTTTACAGACATGTTACTCCAACTGGTATTTCTTTATTAATAGATGATGATGATTATTTAACATATTACCGTCACCACTAAATAAAGTTAATTATCTTAGGGGACTTGGGTCTCAAATCTGAGGCAGCTGAATCCAGAAGAGTGAGCATTCCAATTTCTCAGTGGAGTTTGTAGTACCAGTGAATTCTGTGTTCAGTCCCTCTGGTTTGCTATGTTGAGGCAGAAATTTTTAGACCTCCAGGAGTTTCTGGTTTTGAGAGGATGGATACAGATTGACACAGAATGGTTGTCGGGAAACTTCAGCTTAAATGCGAGGTACCTTTGTGAGTTACTTATAAAGTGAGCCACTTACAGAGATCTCATATGACTACATCACTGAACAGAGAAATCTTCTGGGCTATTTAAAAAATAGTATTCATTAGGGGCGACTGGGTGGCTTAGTCGGTTAAGCGTCCGACTTTCGCTTAGGTCATGATCTCGCGGTTCGTGGGTTCGAGCCCCGCATCGGTCTCTGTGCTGACTGCCAGCTCAGAGCCTGGAGCCTGTTTCGGAGTCTGTGTCTCCCTCTCTCTCTGACTCTCCCCTGCTCACGCTGTCTCTCTCTCTCTCCTAGAAATAATTTTTTTAAAAAAATAGTATTCATTAAGTGTTTGTGTTCCATCAAGTATAAATTAATTGATGTCCAGGCAGGAAGCAACCATAGGAAAATATAACAAGAATAAACACCAAAAATCATGTCACCTGGGAAAACAGCAAAAAGCTACACAGGAAACAACAGAAATTATTCACATAATCCCACTACTGAGAAATTTGATTGTCAACGTTGGAATATTTTTCTTCAATTAACTTCTATACTTTGGATAATAAAAATAAATCATTGTTTATTCCAAATATTTTGGCTCAAGGTTTAGAAGCAAAAATCTTTCACATAGTGCCAGGTCCATGCACTAGGATACATTTAAGAAAATTATTGTTTTTATGTTGATTGCATTGGTAATCAGTGAATGGATCACCTTACAGGTCTTGGTTTCAAGCTTATTAAATTAATAGCCAATGCTACTAATATAGTCACCAGCTAAGTTGATAAATTTAAATTTGCTTTTTCTAAGATGTGGAAATAAAATGGCATCTTTTTACTTGTAAGAATAACAAATATAGTTTCTCATGAGAAGACATGAGTGTTGGCTGTGTGCAAGACACATTTAAAAGGCTTTCTTGGGCGCCTGGGTCGCTCAGTCGGTTAAGCGTCCAACTCATTATCATGATCATTATCATCCGACTCATCAGATCATGATCTCGTGGTTTGTGAGTTCGAGCCCTGCGTCTGGCTGTGCTGACAGCTCAGAGACTGGAAACTGCTTTGGACTCCGTGTCTCCCTCTCTCTCTGCCCTCCCCCACTTATGCTCTGTCTCTCTCTCTCAAAAATAAATAAACATTAAAAAAATGTACAAGAGTTTCCTGGGTACAACTATTCTGTATATTTCTTTAACTCTAAAATGTTATTCTTGCAGAAAACACGGGTAAAACTTCTACAGGCACCGTATATGTTGAAGTACCTAGTTTTAATGAATATTGTCCAACAATCATCCTTGAAAAGAAAAAAATTTGTAGTTCACGACCTTCCGTGGTTGTCTCAGCTAGAGCACTGGAAAATAAATACACTGGCCCCTACACACTTTCCCTGGAGGAGGGACCTCTAAAATTGCCAGTTGTATGGAGTATCACAACACTCAATGGTGAGTAATAGGAAACTTGCTTCCATAAATGAAAGTTGGTACTGCTTTATATTTCCGGATGGATAAAGAGCTCATTTGGGAGCAAGTCTTTTCCAAGAATGACTGAAAAAATTATTTGCAATGAAGATGTGGTCCTAGTCTCACGAATTTCTTCTCTCTTCAGAAGAGAAAAGGAATGATATGATATAATATTAGCACCATTTAATGTTTTCTGTTTTTCATGTGCAGTCTGTTTTATAATTTCATGTTTTTACTGTTTTATGTCTACCCCAGAGCATACCATAAAAAGAATAGAGTCAGGCATCTATTTTATTGTAGAGCTGTTTAAATTTCTAAATATATAAACTTTTCCTAATGGGGCAGATTGTGAACAGACACAAATCACTGGAGGAGTTGCCTGTTCAAGGCTCAATGGAAGTGCTACTTATTCTGTCACTAGTCAGGAATCTTGAGAGCACAGTGGACTGAAATCCCCATTAGTCCATTAGCCAATAGGAAAGAGTTAATCCATCCTTCCTTTTCTCCTTTTATGATGCTAATTTTACATTTCCTATGTTTTCTAGGAGTCTCATAGAAATAGCCATTGGACTAAATAAAAATCTTCTCATTTTTCTCCAGCACTTTTTTGAACCTTTCTTGCTTCCTTCCGTGAATGTGCTCTATTGCGTCCTAGTCACAGGTGTCACCAATTGCTAAAGTCACCAAAGGGATCTTGTTCTCCATGGCCTTCTTTCCTAGGACCTTACTGATCTTGATATAAGTCTCTAGCTCCAAATTATTTGTGTAGCATTTGGGTCCAAATGGGTTTACTGGTACATGGCACATGGCCAATAAAAAGGTTGCAAAAGAAATATCAGAGACAGATAAGACCCAGCACTGGGCACGCCTGCTTGGATGAGGCTGCACAAGGCAACAGTGGTTGGACTAGGTGGATCAGTCATGATCTCAAAGGGCATGGTAGGGTCAAGAGTGGTTCAGTTGACACAACTCTGCAGCTTGCAAGAGCTGATGTTGGAGCCCAATTAGAAAGGGACAACATAGCAATAGAGAACGGAGAATGATCAATATTCAAGAGTCAGATAGGCAACAGACTGTCACTTCAGAGAATCCCATACAAAAACTGGCATTTGGGTACAGGGGATGCAAACTATCAGGAACGGCTGAGGTAGTGGCAGCCAAACAGAAATTCAGTCTTGAAGCCTAAGTGTCCATCAACAGATGAATGGATCAAGAAGATGTGGTTTATCTATACCATGGAATACTACATGGCAATGAGAAACAATGAAATCTGGCCATGTGTAGCAACATGGATGGACCTTGAGGGGGTTATGCTGAGCGAAATAAGTCAGGCAGAGAAGGACAAATACCATATGTTTGCACGTATAGGAGGATTAGGAGGAACTTGACGGAGGACCAAGGGGGAGAAGAAGGGCGGAAATGGTGGGGGAAAGGGAGAGAGGCAAACCATGAGAGACTCTTGAATGCTGACAAAAACTGAGGACTGATGGATGTGGGGGGGAGGGGGGGATGGGCATGAAGGAGGGCACTGTGGGGATGAGCACTGAGTGTTATGTAGAAACTAATTTGACAATAAACTATTTGTAAAAAAAAAAAAAAAAAAAAAAGAAATTCAGTCTTGATAAATCAGGCATAAAAACATGAACTCAGAGGGAAGGCATATGTTCAGAAGGCCACACACGAGAGTCCAGGGGGTTGGTGCAGATGTACAGGTGAGTGGTTATGCCACAGGAAAGGGGGCCTTCATACCAACATGATACCTGCCTCCTGTCATCTTTCAGGAGAAGCATCAGGGTAGGACTGAGTTTTCAGGGGTGTCAATAACAGGGGCAGAAAGGAGGACATGGAGGATGTGCAACCTGATTTACCCAACTGAATCCCTTATCACTAATAACTGCTCAAATCTCACCTTACTATCAGCCTCACTGTGACAATGTTGTTTAAGGTGCCCCTGGTTCTGTTAACAAAAATAAGTAGTTTTAAGAACAAAAGACACCTTGTCCTGCTGTTGATTTGTATGATGTTTGTCTGCAGCTACTTCGGCACTCCTTAATGGCCAAGAACAGATGCCTCCTGGAAGGTATACGATCTCGCTGACAGTTACCGACAGTCAGAACAGACAGTGTGAGGCACCAGAGAGCCTGACTCTGGAAGTCTGTCAGTGTGACAACAGGGACACCTGTGGAAATTCTGACGGGACCAAAGGCCCTGTACACACAGATAGAGGCTCATCATGGAAGCTGGGGCCTGCAGCCATTGGCCTGATATTCCTTGGTCTTCTGCTACTGCTATGTGAGTACACCAAAGCCGACTTCTGTTTTTGATGGGGAATCAGTCTTTGCGGAGGCCTGCTGCACAAGCAATGCCATCTTTGCAATGTAGAACCATCCCTTAATTGTGTTATAGGCAAAGATAGGGGAAAGTGACATTCTCAGGAAGAATCTGACATGTTTAAAGTTAAAGTGTCATTTGCCAACAATCTATATTCATAATACAACAAAGCATGTCATGTATGTTAAACATTTAGAAAACAGCAGAAGAGAATCAACAAAAAAAATTAAACTTTGAACTAAAATTAAATAGGACTTTCTACACACTCCCGGTAATGTTCATAATCAAAATAATTCCTTTACCCACAATGCACTACTTTCTAAAATGTCTTCTTCATATTTAAATCTCATGAGATTTTATTTATTTTTTTTTTACAAATAGCTTATTGCCAAACTGGTTTCCATATAACACCCAGTGCTCATCCCCACAAGTGCCCTCCTCCATGCCCATCTCCCCCCTCCCCCCCACATGCATCAGTCCTCAGTTTTTGTCAGCATTCAAGAGTCTCTCATGGTTTGCCTCTCCCCGTTTCCCCCACCATTTTCCCGCTTCTTCTCCCCCATGGTCCTCAGTTAAGTTCCTCCTAATCCTCCTATATGTGCAAACATATGATATTTGTCCTTCTCTGCCTGACTTATTTTGCTCAGCATAACACCCTCAAGGTCCATCCATGTTGCTACACATGGCCAGATTTCATTGTTTCTCATTGCCATGTAGTATTCCATGGTATAGATAAACCACATCTTCTTGATCCATTCGTCCGTTGATGGACACTTAGGCTCTTTCCATGTTTTAGCTATTGTGGAGAGTGCTGCTATGAACATTGGGGTACATGTGCTCCTATGCCTCAGCATTTCTGTATCCCTTGGGTAAATTCCTAGCAGTGCTATTGCTGGGTCATAGGGGAGTTCTATTGTTAGTTTCCTGAGGAACCTCCACACTGTTTTCCAGAGGGGCTGTACCAGTTTACATTCCCACCAACAGTGTAGGAGGGTGCCCGTTTCTCCACATCCTCGCCAGCATCTAGAGTTCTCTGATTTGCTCATTTTAGCCACTCTGACTGGCGTGAGGTGGTATCTCAGTGTGGTTTTGATTTGTATTTCCCTGATGAGGAGGGATGCTGAGCATCGTTTCATGTGTCTGTTGGCCATCTGGATGTCCTCTTTGGAGAAGTGTCTGTTCATGTCTTCTGCCCATTTCTTCACTGGGTTGTTTGTTTTTCGGGCGTGTAGTTTGGTGAGTTCCTTATAGATTCTGGATATTAACCCTTTATCTGATATGTCATTTGCAACTATCTTTTCCCATTCCGTTGGTTGCCTATTAATTTTCTGGGTTGTTTCCTTGGCTGTGCAGAAGCTTTTAATCTTGATGAGGTCCCAACAGTTTATTTTTGCTCTTGATTCCCTTGCTTTTGGGGATGTGTCAAGTAAGAAGTTGCTGCGGTGGAGGTCAAGGAGGTTGTTTCCTGCTTTCTCCTCTAGGGTGTTGATAGTTTCCTGTCTCACGTTCAGGTCCTTTATCCATTTTGAGTTGATTTTTGTGCATGGTGTGAGAAAATGATCTAGTTTCATTCTTCTGCATGTTGCTGTCCAGTTCTCCCAACACCATCTGTTAAAAAGGCTGTCTTTTTTCCATTGGATATTCTTTCCTGCTTTGTCAAAGATCAGTTGGCTGTATACTTTTGGGTCCACTTCTGAGTTCTCAATTCTGTTCCATTGGTCTATGTGTCTGTTTTTGTGCCAATACCATACTGTCTTGAGGATGACAGCTTTGTAGTAGAGGCTGAAGTCTGGGATGGTGATACCTCCCGTTTTGGTTTTATTTTTCAGTATTACTTTGGCTATTCGGGGTCTTTTGTGGTTCCATACAAATTTTTGGATAGTTTGTTCTAGTTTTGAGAAGTATGCTGGTGCAATTTTGATTGGAATTGCATTGAATGTGTAGAGTGCTTTAGGTAGTAATGACATCTTAACTATATTTATTCTTCCTATCCATGAGCATGGAATGTTTTTCCATTTCTTTGTGTCTTCTTCAATTTCCTTCATAAGTTTTCTATAGTTTTCATCATACAGATCTCTTGTATCCTTGGTTAGGTTTATTCCGAGGTATTTTATGGTTTTTTGTGCAATTGTGAATGGGATCAGTTTCTTGATTTCTCTTTCTGTTGCTTCATTATTGGTGTATAAAAATGCAACCGATTTCTGTACGTTGATTTTGTACCCTGCAACTTGGCTGAATTCTTGGATCAGTTCTAGTAGGCTTCTGGTGGAGTCTGTCGGGTTTTCTATGTAGAGTATCATGTCATCTGCGAAGAGTGAAAGTTTGACTTCCTCTTTGCCAATTCTGATGCCTTTGATTTCCTTTTGTTGTCTGATGGCTGATGCTAGGACTTCCAGCACTATGTTAAACAACAGTGGTGAGAGTGGACATCCCTGTCGTGTTCCTGATCTCAGGGGGAAAGCTCTCAGTTTTTCCCCGTTGAGGATGATGTTAGCTGAAGGCTTCTCATAGATGGCTTTGATGATGTTTAAGTAGGTTCCTTCTATCCCAACTTTCTCGAGAGTCTTTATTAAGAAGGGATGCTGTATTTTGTCAAATGCTTTTTCTGCATCTATTGACAGGATCATATGGTTTTTATCTTTTCTTTTATTGATATGATGGATCACATTGATTGATTTGCGAATGTTGAACCAGCCCTGTAACCCAGGAATGAATCCCACTTGATCTTGGTGGATGATTCTTTTGATATGCTGCTGGATTCGATTTGCAAGGATCTTGTTGAGAATTTTTGCATCCGTATTCATCAAGGATATTGGCCTATAGTTCTCTTTTTTTGTTGGATCTCTGTCTGGCTTGGGAATCAGAGTGATGCTGGCTTCATAAAATGAGTCCGGGAGTTTTCCTTCGACTTCTATTTTTTGGAATAGCTTGAGAAGAATTGGGATTAATTCTGTTTTAAATGTCTGGTAGAATTCCCCAGGGAAACCATCAGGTCCAGGGCTCTTATTTGTTGGGAGATTTTTGATCACTGATTCGATTTCTTCACTCGTTATGGGTCTGTTCAGGTTTTCTATTTCTTCCCGTGTGAATTTTGGTAGTGAGTGTGTGTTTAGGAATTTGTCCATTTCTTCTAAGTTGTCCAATTTGTTGGCATATAATTTTTCATAGTATTCCCTGATAATTGCTTGTATTTCTGAGGGGTTGGTGGTAATAAGTCCATTTTCATTCATAATTTTGTCTATGTGGGTGCTCTCTCTTTTCTTTTTGATAAGTCTGGCTAGAGATTTGTCAATTTTGTTTATTTTTTCAAAAAACCAATTCTTGGTTTCATTGATATGTTCAATTGTTCCTTTGGTCTCTATGTTGTTTATTTCTGCTCTAATTTTTACTATTTCTCTTCTTCTACTGGGTGTAGGGCGTTCTTGTTGCTTCATGAGATTTTAAAATAGAAAGAGTAGAGACTTATTACATTCAAAATATTATTTGATTCACAAGATTTTGATTTAAATGCAACTTTTTAAAAATCTATCCATTAAATAAAATAAATTTTACTTTTCCTGAAAAATAAAACCTGTGTAGTTTCCTTAAATGTGTTCAGTCAACTTAATCTTATTAATGAAAGCCTTTAAGAAGATGTATATATATGTGGTAAGCTATTTTCAGGAAGTGCTGGATTAAGGAATAATTTCTCAGAGCCCCTGATGTATTAATGTTCATTATAAAGCTCAAACTTCTATATTATCTATAGTTTTCCTCAGATTTATTTGGCCAGGGTTCTCTTTCTATTTTATTTAATGGATAGATTTTTAAAAAGTTGCATTTAAATCAAAATCTTGTGAATCAAATAATATTTTGAATGTAATAGGTCTCTATGTAAAAGAATTTCATGGCAAATTCTTGTATAAATAAGAGAAACCTTTGAAAAATTCAGAATCACTTCCCAAATTTATTACAGAACCATAGGCTTGTAGAATAAAATGATTGTTCATGATAATCAAGTTCACTCCTACCCCTTCGTTTAAACATTTTAAAATTTGTGAAATACTTTCAAACCACAAAGAAGTACAGAAAATTACATGACAGCCACACATATAACCATCATTCAGACTTAACAGGTATTAATATTTGCTGTATTTGTTCAGATCTCTTTTCATAAAAAAAAAATAGTAAGTTGCTATACAACTGTCAGCATGACATCTAATGTTCCTACACATGGCATATATTCTCCTTCCTCCCTCCCCAGAAGTGTTTCCTATTTTGCAGTTTATCATGCATCATTTCACTTAATAGCTGAAAATGAAGTACCTTTCAGTTTTTCAATATCATATTAGTCAATTTCAAAACCAATTTTTTCAAGTCCATATATGTGAGTCTTGACAAGCATCCAGCTCAAAAAGGGAAACTGATTCAGATTTTCACGTAGTTCACAGATTTATGTGTGTCTAACTCTATGGAAAAAACTATACCAGGATACAGCTATAGTAGAATTTACTACAAAGGGGGATTACAGAGGCTTCACAGAATAGAAGGATCATCAATTAAGGCTTGAAAAACCAGTCAGATATAAGTAGAAAAAGAGGGGAAAGTGCTTCCAAAGGGTGGAGGCTAACAAATGGTGAAATTGTGAACATTAAAAGAGATGAAACTGGAGAATGCATGGGCACCAATTAGAAAGGGCTTACATACCATGTTATGGTGTTTGTACTTTAAGCTCTGAGAAAAAAGAGCTACTAAAAGCATCTGAATAAAAACCTAGCATGTTCATATTTGTGTTTCAGAAAGATAACACCGGCAGTGGTGTGTACTGTAAATTAGAAAGGAAATTACAGTTAGGAGGTTATTGTAATAGTTCAGAGGAGATGATAGAAGCTAGATTCAGAGCTGTGACATGAGACTGGAAAGGAAGGGGCAAATGTGTGTGAGGCTTTACATGGAGAAGATTTGGAGACTCATGAATATGAAGAGTGGATAGGAAATCCAGCTGAACCATTGAATGCAGTTGTCACTTAAATCATTCAATGAAACTGAAAATATTAGATGAAGCACATATACATAGGTTGGCACTGACAAGCTTAATTCTGAAATGCTGACTTTTAGGTTGTGGATAAATTACAGAGGCAGGTCTTTGTACATTTGGGATAATGGCTCTGGAAGGCATTCAAAGAAAATACACTGTGTTATTCTCACAATCACATCTGTCCTGTCCTGCTACCATTTGAAAACTCTCCATGTTTCGATTTTTGTGCAGGACAGAACACACATTTTTCAGACCGTAGAAATGCACTTGACACTTTGGAAAACTTTTTCTGGATACATTTATAAAAACCAAGTATATATTGCAGATACAGCGATAAGCAAGATCTCTAAAAGATTATGTATGCCCACTTACAAATACTCACCATCCAGATGTACATTCATCACCTTAAAAACTAACCAACTCACACACACAGACACAAAAAACCAACTAACCAACTCACAATATTCCATCCCACACAGTAACAAAGTCATAGAATTGAGAATGGCAATTTTAAAAAGCCAATAGAAGTATCATTTATATGAACATTATATTAAGCTTTATGAAAATACATCAGTTATGTCCAACCTATTTTATTTACGTACTTGGCCTATTTTCATGCTGTGTATATCTAATATATATGACTAATATAATTTACATAACTGATGTAGCCCATCCAAACAACACTAGCAAATAGCACTCACCACCACCTCAGAGCACTCACTCACTCCTCACAGCACTCACTACCACCCTTTCTTATACTACTCACTTATTTGATCCTCACAATAACCTGTGATGTAGATAATATACATTCTCCCATTCTCTGGATGAATTCATAGAAACGAGAAAAGACGATATAACGTATCTAGCTGGTAAGAGGTGGTACCAAAATACAAATCCTAGAAGTCTGACTGGAGAGACTATGCTCTTAAGCCTCTTACTAAATCACCTCTAAAGGGACAGAATTCAAATGTGAGGATTCAAGAGGCCTTGACAAGCAGAGGGAGGGGTGGGGTCACTGACTACCTAGCCTTCCAGTGCTTCTTTTCAAGTGAGAGTACAATATTTTTCTCTTGGTCCATTAGCATGAGAATGAAGTTTATCTTTATTGCTAAGATGTGACAGATATGCACAGGAAGAATGAAAATTACCCTGACTGGAAGGTCCCTCCAAGCTAGAGATTCTTAAGTCACAATTAAGAGTGCATTGCTATTAGCTCATCATTCTACTTGTGGAGGGAGTTTGCTGGTTAATTGCTATTTACTACAAGATCTTTAGAATCCGGGTTACAGGAACATTACCCTGCCCACCTACCCCAAATCCTGACCATCCAGGTGTGTATTCACCCAACATAATATATATAGCTCAGCATATACAAATAAATACAATGAAAATATATATCTAATACAGAAAATGATTGAGGAATTAACAACCACCTTTATCATTCATCAAACAGTGCCTGTTTTAAGAAAATACACATATCACAAGAATGATCTAATCCATCTCCTTCAGCTTCCTAATCATATGAAATTTTAGTGTGCTTACATTTTATTTTATAGAAACTAATTTTGCTTTTTATTAGATTTTCCACGAGTACTGAAAATATTGTATTTTCTTTTTAACATTTCAGACAATTGTCATGTCAAAATGTTTCCAAATGATTCAAATGTTCTGATATTTTGTTTTCCTTTATAACCAGTGGCCCCCCTTCTGCTGCTGACCTGTGACTGTGGGATGGGTTCTATGGGGGGAGTGACAGGAGGATTTATCCCAGTTCCTGATGGTTCAGAAGGAACAATTCATCAGTGGGGAATCGAAGGAGCTCAACCTGAAGACAAGGTGAGGACCCAGTTTCTAAAACATTTATTTCAGGGCACTTGGGTGGCTCAGTCAGTTGAGCATCTGACTATTGATTATGGCCAGGTCATGATCTCATGGGATTGATCCCCACTTGGAATTTTCTCTCTCCCCTCTCTCTGCCCCTTCCCTGCTGGCAAGTGCTCTCTCTTTCTCTCTTTCAAAATAAATAAATAAACACTTAAAAAGATTAAAACATTTATTTCAATCACATAGAACAAAATTAGATTTATACTCAGGTTGGAAAGGGGGCAATGGGGTATAAAAATAAGACACTCCTTGACTTTTAAAGACCTTTGTGAGTCAGTGCTGAAATGAATGGAGTCTTTTAGGATCATAGCTCTTCAGATGTTATATCATAAAAATGGTTAGTCCTGCAAGAATTTGGCCATCTTGTAAAGTCATCTTTTGCAAAGAGCCACATTTCACCCATACTGCCATGAAATTTGGTTCATTTTTAAATATATTTATTTTTGGAACATGGTTTGCAGGAAATCACAAATATTCGTGTGCCACCTATAACTGCCAATGGAGCCGATTTCATGGAAAATTCTGGTAAGTGAACAACAAATGGGTTTTTTAAGGCAATACCGGGCTAAATAAAAAATGCTGAGAAATAATAAGTGTTCATTTTCTTAATAATTTGCATATATGTACACATGCTGGGGAGATGTTACCAGTGAACAATGGGTTTAAATGAAAAGATTTACTATTAGTTTATCAGTCAATTCCATGACCTAGCTCAGGTTTCAGTGAGTTCATTGAAGTTCATTATCCACTGAGGCTGCCATTTTTAATAACTGAATATTTGTTATACATTTTCCAAATTTTGATAAAGTATAGCTCTCAGTCAATTACTAGTTTTTTAATTAGGAAAGATTTCACACATGTAGAAAATGTAAAAGGACATATAACAAGCACTATGTACCTACCACTCAATTTTGACTATTCTTAGAAATATTCTAAGACTGGAATATTCTTCAAATATTACACTGGTAATATTTGCAGTTAAACCTCATGTGTGCACATCCTCAATCTTGTTGCCCTTCTTCCTTCCCCAGAATTAATGATACCCTGATTTGAGTTCAATTACCAGTTTCATATTCAAGCATAATGGGACAAGACAGTTTATGTTGTGATATAGGTGATTATTTATTTCTTTGGCTTATCAAATGACTGTTTTATTCATATTATCTCAATGCCACAACTAAGGCATAAACTAGTGGAACAAGAAGACCTAATGCTTAATATTAAAATTTTTCTTGGGGCACCTGGGTGCTCAGTCAGTTAAGCGTCCCAACTTCAGCTCAGGTCATGATCTTGCGGTTCGTGAGTTTGAGCCCCACGTTGGACTCTGTACTGACAGCTCAGAGCCTGGGCCTGCTTCGGATTCTGTCTCCCTCTCTCTCTGACCCTCCCCTGCTCGTACTCTGTCTCTCTCTCAAAAATAAATAAACATTAAAATGTTTTTTTCTTAATTCCATATTTAGCAACAGATTGTTTTTAAATGTCCAGGCTGCAAAGTCTGCATGAGATCACCCCAAAATGTCTGCCTTTATCAGCTGCCCCAGATCCTCACCTGCTTCTCCCATTTTATTTCCATAGCAAAAACTGTATTCAGAATTCTCTAAAAACATATAACTTTCCTTTAAAGTATAATGTAAAGGTAATAGGTAGAACAGTCATACTCATTACATTTTCTTTAGGCACCACAACACTACTTTAGTTCCTGCTAATTTGCATAATTATATTATGTATGTTTCCTCTTTGGTTTCTATACTGCAGCAATATGACAGCTTAATTTCAATGTCTTTTTTACTGAAAACAACTAAGCATTGCATTAGAAGCTTTCCATGACTACGTGCTGAATATGAATATTCTCTTTTTACTTTATTATTTCTGGCTCTTGTCACTGAAAATCTATTTCCTGTATATATTTTTCAATTAGTATGTTTTCAGAGCTGTTTCATCTGCTAAGATCATCTGTACAGCCTGCACCTGCTCTGTTACAGCCTCAGCTCCTCCGTTACCCTCACATAACAGACCATAGGATGCTCTTATCACCTCTAGTCATTTAACTGTAATTTCTCCCACTTATATACTTATTTGCTTTATTTCACATCTGTTCAGGGATATCAAAAAACAGCTAAAAATAATAATAATTACTGCATAGGTTGCTACAGAATTGTCTCCCCCGTTTTTAGAAGTTTGTACGAATACCTATGCTGGAGGAACAGTGGTGGAAGGAGCTTCGGGAATGGAACTGACCACCAAGCTTGGAGCAGCAACAGGAGCTGGGGCCGCTGCAGGATTCGGAGCAGCCTCTGGACTTGGCATTGGCTCTGCAGGACAGTCCGGAACAATGAGAACAAGGCATTCCACTGGAGGAACCAATAAGGACTATGGGGAAGGGGCAGTAAGCATGAATTTCCTGGACTCCTATTTTTCTCAGGTAATTGGGTGGAAAACTCTGTGGCTTTGTTATCTTTACATTAGATGTCTTTTCACTTGACAATACTTCAGTTTTGCAATTCGTTTGTATTTTATTTATAGCTTGTTAAAATGGAAGAAGAAAATAGGGTTCTTTGATGTCAAAATAATACAGATGACGTAAGGTGGCTGCCACAATGGAGCTACTAGTCAAAAGGAAAAATGGTAGATGACACAAAGGGAGATAACATAGCAAGTGGAACGTCATCCCTCCAACCAGAATAACAATGGAAAGCAAAATCTTTTGCATATTGGGGTCAGCAGCATCTTCTGTAGGAATACAAAGAGCTTATTTTGTGTTTCCTAGATCATGAAGTATGTCAGAACACACATGCGTATTTTTCTGAGACAGGGTTATAGTATTCTTCACAGTTTCAAAGGAGTCTATGCCCCCAAAAGTTGAAGAACCATTGAATCAATGGCCCAAAAATAAAAGTGGGGAAAACGGATGTGATCGAAGATCACATTAAGTGTCAGGAAGCATAGAACTGAAAGGAACAAGTGTTAGAAACAGAGGAGACTCTGAGAGGAAGGTCTTGCCTCTTGACTGGTGCATCCATAGAACAGATTTCACACACAGTTTTGGTATCAGAGCTGCTAAGTCCTGGGATGCGGCCTGTTGCTGAGAAGACAGATCCTGACACAGTGACCGGTAGGGAGAGCCTGTTTGGGGTGAGGACTCTTGGGATTAGGGATGAGGACTCTGAGGTGTGATGTGGGCCTTATTAGGGGTCAGGCTCCAACAAGGAGTCTAGCATTAACAGAAGCACACACAGGGAACCCCACACGTAGCTCAGTGAATAACCTCCAGACTTTGAATACATTCAGTTTGTAGGCCAAGATCCACATAAGTACCTTCAAAAACCCAGAATTTAAACTTGAGCCTAGTCCAGATTCAATTTTGAAATAATGTCAACACTATTGTTCTCCAAACACCAGATCATTTCTGTAACAAGACTGTTGATATACAGAGCATGCCTTTACTTCTATGGATTACCTAAATTACACATTCATGATCAAATCTTGAGTTCTATGAACTGTACTGTATTCTTCAATCGATGCTCTTTTAATATTCATCTCTTCCACTTTTCTCCACCTTTAGAAAGCATTTGCCTGTGCAGAAGAAGACGATGCCCAGGAAGCGAATGACTGCTTGTTGATCTATGATAATGAAGGAATGGGTGCCCCCAGTTCTCCCGTGGGCTCCGTGGGTTGTTGCAGTTTTATTGCCGATGAGCTGGATGACAGCTTCTTGGACTCACTTGGCCCCAAGTTTAAAAAGCTTGCAGAGATAAGCCTCGGGATTGATGACGAAGCCAAACAATCTCAGCTGCCTACCCAAGACAGCCATTCTAGGATTGAATCTTGTGGCTATTCCCTAGGACCCCAACAGCCAGAATCCGTTAGGGGCCAGACTGCGTCAGGCAGTCAAGGAGCTTCTGCTTTGTCTGCTTCCAGCTCTGTTCTCCAGCCAGCCATTGCCATCCCTGACCCTTTGCAGCATGGTAGCTATTTGGTAACAGAGACTTACTCAGCCTCTGGTTCTCTCATGCAACCTTCCACTACAGTCTTTGAGCCACATCTCACGCAAAATGTAATAGTGACAGAGAGAGTGATTTGTCCCATTTCCAATGTTCCTGACAACCTACAAACTCCAGCAGAGCTACGAGGGTCACGTAATACTATCTGTACAGAAGATCCTTGTTCCCGTCTGATATGACCAGAATGAACTGGAATTAAACATAGCAGCTGAATACAGATATTTGGACCAAACTGTTCAAAGTAGCATAGCAAAGCTCACAGTATTGGTCTAATTAGGCCCTAATTTGGTACCCTCATAAACTAATCATGATTAGTTTCAATTTTCTAGTTAATACCCCCAAACTGAACGTGTCACTTGTACTCCTCAAGTACCATTAAAGTGGTAGTAAATCTTGATGTTTCTCAAAAAAATCTCAAGATCATATTCAGTGGGAAAAATTTCACTTAACAATTAACAACTTTTACACCGCTATTGTGGCAGTGCTGATGAAAGTTATTTGTTGCTTTAAATAAAATGCAGTGTGTTTCAGTGGATTAGGCACTTGGAGTCAAGAGCCCCAGTTCTTGTCTCTGTCACCTTTTCTTCTGTCACTAATAATGATGTAAGAGTCAAAACATCTTTGCTAAAGCATTTCGAGCTGCTTGGAAAAAGGACATAGTTGCAGCTGAGTTTTTGCCACCTTCTCGGTGTTGGGAAACCTTAAGTGCATCTTTCGCTCAAGCTAAAGGCTGTTGGCTTATGCATTAAGCTTGCTGTATCTATATTCCTCAATTCTCAAAACAAGACAGTTTTGAAATAGAAATGTGGAACATTTAGGAAACTTTAGAGTGGTGTAAATAATATTTTGTTTCTGTAAACTACTTTGAAGCGATCTATCCAAGGAAAATATTTTACATTGAGCTCCTTCCTACATCCTTCTCGGTACAAATCTTGTGTTAATAGTTCTTGAAAGTTACCCTATTTTTAAATGTCAGTGAGTTGATGTAGCTTATGTATGACATAGCATGTTTATTGTGTTAACAATGACTACAGGCCTCGTGAGAATACAAAACATGGTTTTTCTCATAATCAAAAGAGGCATCTGACTAGAATGACATACGGTAAAATTTTTGAATATGTATAATAAGCACCATTTCAAGTAAAAAATGGATATGGAAAGAGATTGTCAATAACCTCTATTAAGCCTCACTCCTTTTAAACAGCTTCACCAATTTAATTCTCTAGCATAACAGTGTTAGGTTAGTGAAGATTTAGAAGTTATTACTTCATGCACATGGCCATGACAGCAATGCAGTTCTTCAAATCATTTCTGGTCATTCAAGATCTTCAGCCTTTAGCCCATAGAGAACACCGACTTCTCGTCAACATTTTTGTCATAGCTGAGTCTTTACAAGGTCATTGTTGAGCTCCATTATCTCTAATTGTATATGAAATACTCCTCTCTGGGTTTGTTTGTTTGCCATATTCAAAACATATTTGCTTTTCCAGAAGGAATGCAAAGTAATAAAGTGTGTTTTAACACAGAAGGGTGCAGTCCTGAGGATACCTGAGTAGGTAGAGACCTCCTAAATGTCCCTACATCTAACCTTCTTCCCTCTCCCTGGTGCCATGACAGCCAGGAAGATATGTGCTAGGAAAGCCCAAGACCTGCGGGCAATCTGTTCCGTCAAGATAAGCCTGATGCTTCAACAACAGCTGCAGTGTGCCCAGCTGGAAGTGAGGGGAGCTAGTCTCTGCGGGGGGAACTAGACCCTGTAGAGGGAACTAGTCTCTGTGGAGGGAATTAGTCTCTGTGGGGGGGAACCAATATCTGAGGGAGGAACTAGTCTCTGTGGGGGGAACTAGTCTCTGAGGAGGAACTACACTCTGTGGGGGGGAACTAGACTCTGTGGACGGAACTAGACTCTGGAGGGAACTAGTCTCTGCAGAAGGAACTAGTCTCTGAGGGGGGAACTAGACTCTGTGGAGGGAACTAGTCTCTGAAAAAGGAACTAGTCTCTGTGGAGGGAACTAGTCTCTGTGGAGGGAACTAGTCTCTACGAAGGAAACTAGTCTCTGCGGAGGGAACTAGTCTCTGTGAAGAGAACTAGTCTCTGCAGAGGGAACTAGACTCTGAGGGGGGAACTAGTCTCTGTGGAGTGAACTAGTCTCTGTGGGGGGAACTAGTCTCTGTGGGGGGAACTAGACTGTATGGAGGGAACTAGACTCTGTGGAGCAGCTGCCAATCCTGAGAAAGCTGCCTTGCTGGTACCACTGGGAAGCTTGCTCTGGGTTCTAGATCACACACGGTTGATTTGTGCCTCTGTTAGGCATGGGAATTAAATTAATAATCATAATTATCCTTATTCCAAGTTCAAAAGTATTTTCAGGATCCTCCAAGTATTTTAATGTCACCTCTTAAAACCCAACTTAGCATGAGTTGGAAATGTTGCCACATTGCCAAACTGCAAAGGAATCCATGTCATGGCAGTGAGGCCATGTAAGGGGAAAGTTGACATTAAATGTGTTTTCTAATAAAAATAGAATAATCTTGTCTAGGAGGTCCTAAAAATGATTTGCCATGTAAAAGTAAACTCGAAGCAAAAATGTATCTCTATTTTTTCACCAAAAATAAAAATTGTTTCAAGCAAAAAAAAAAATTTAACTGTCTTTTTACTTGATGTATTATAAATTTTACACAGTATACCCTAAAACTTTAACAGAGTAACACTGTTACGTCAAAACTGTCTGGCAACAAATTTATGAGTATTCCTTAGCCATTTAGTAAAAGTGGAACTACTCTATAATTAATAAGACATATACATTACGAAATATAAATAACTGACTTACGTATGTATTTTTATCAGTAATCTACATTTTTTTCTAGCTGATATGTTTTTCTGTTCCATCCTCCCGGTCAGGAGGGAAATACTCTGGGTCTCTTCCTCATGGTGGAATAGCACTAGAGGAGTGCTGGATGAGGTCAGGGCTTTAACTCACTTATTATTTGTTTGGTAATTTGGAACGATCTTTTCAGACAAACATTTTGACATTCTAAGATGCCTCAGAGAGAAAAGCTGGAGTAAAGAGAAGGTAAGGTCTCCAACCTAACATAATGTCATGGCTCTGGTGACAGCTATCAGTTCCAGAAGTCTGGGTTTGTCTCCCAGAAAATGACTGGGAGACCAAAAAAAAAAAAAAAAAAAAAAATATATATATATATATATATATATATATATTTATGTCTTCTTTTAAAGGGATGCCACAAAATAAGTCTCTTCAGAACTTTAGATCTTGCTTTGGCTAACCTTCCTCATTCTTTTATTGTACAATTCACCTTGGATCTGCAGGAGGAAGAGCAGAAGCTGGATTAGAGTGGGTGTTGAGTAGAGACCACTGGATGGCTTGATTTAGATGTTCCAGATCAAACCCAGGAAAATGAAGGCCATACAGATAAATTCCAAAAACATCCCCAGATCCCCCTATTTATACAAAGTTTGAAGGATAAGAACAGCAAGGTCAATTTATCTTAACTTTCAAAAGTCAAGTTAGAGTGTGAAAAAAACATACTCAACTGACAATCTTCAGTGCATTTAAAAATTAAGAAACAAGTAAACGTTAAGGATATTTCCCTCTTGTTATTGGCAATTCAGCATTTTCTCCACGCCTTCACTAGGTCTAAAAATGAGGGACTCTGAATCAGAGATGATATGTTTTAACACTTGTTCAACAACACAGTCTGAGATCATTGTTAATTAAGGGGAATAACTGATAAGAAAAGAAGATAATTGTTTTGAATTCCAGGTGCCAGAAACCACATGTTTTCCACACGTGAATACCAAGACTTCTTCTGTTCTGCCTGATCCCTCCATGACAAGACCTGGGCCATTCTAGGTCAGTGTCTTTGCTTTTTTGTTTTTATTTTTAAAAAAATGTAAAGCAGAAAAATCTAAACACAATGCAGCTGTAGTTAAAACTCAAGGGGAAGCACCTGGGTGGCTCAGTTGGTTAAGCGTCTGACTTCAGCTCAGGTCATGATCTCACAGTTTGTGAGTTCAAGCCCCACGTCGGGCTCTGTGCTGACAGCTGAACCTAGAGCTTGCTTCGGTTTCTGTGTCTCCTTCTCTCTCTGCCCCCACCCCCCACTTGTGCTCTGTCTCTCTCTGTCTCTCAAACATAAATAAATCTAAAAAAAATGTTAATACATAGAAATAAAAAATAAAAATAAATTCAAGGGAGTGATGGTCTAAAAGAACACGTACAAATGGATATAGTTACCAAAGTAGGAAGAAACTAGACACTGGTAAGAGCCACCAGGTGGCCAGGAGAATTAAATATTCTAATTTAATTCTTACAGGAACCCTAATTGTAGTCAGGCAAACAGAGACCCAGAGAAGCAACTTCCTTCCTTAAGGTCATTCAATAAAGTGACATAAATGTAAAGGTTTATCTATAGCTCTTCAGTAGTAATAATATAATTACTACTATGTCGAAATACTCTGCTTACTTTCATCTCTAAAACTTGGTTAGAGCATAAAAATTGGAAAGAATACAAAGAAAACAGTGAAAATAATTTTTAGGAGACTAGAAATCTAGGTAGAACTCTAAAGATTAAAAAAGTAGTACATTGTAGGCCAATACATCTATCTGGACATAGAGGACAGAGTATCTCTTTCTATATAGCTAAGATTGGGAGGTAGAGAAATAAAAAGGTAGGGACAGAGGAATAGATAGAAAGAATGCAAATACACAATTGGCTGCTATTTTGAAGCACGTGTGAGGTTCTTTTTCAAGACACACTGACATCTCTTCCACATTTAATAAGGGAAACAAGCTACCCGAAAGTCATAGAATATCCTTTTTGGTGAACTCTTCAAGAAGCACTTTGATAGCACACTATTTAGAAGTTACGTGACATCGTATAGGAGGATTAGGAGGAACTTAACGGAGGACAATGGGGGAGAAGAAGGGGGGAAATAGCGGGGGAAAGGGGGAGAGGCAAACCATGAGAGACTCTTGAACGCTGACAAAAACTGAGGACTGATGGATGTGGGGGGGAGAGGGGGATGGGCACGGAGAGGGGCACTTGTGGGGATGAGCACTGGGTGTTATATGGAAACCAACNTAAATAAATAAATAAATAAATAAATAAATAAAATTTAAAAATACATATCAAAAAAAAGAAGTTACGTGACATGTAGCTAGATACAAAAATAACTTTATGGAGAGAGATTTTGATTTAATATTTTATATTATGAAATGATCGCCATGATTAGCCTAGGTAACACCTGTCACCATACGTAGTTACAAAACATTTTTTTCTTGTGATAAAGACTATTAAGGTCTACTCTCTTTGCAGTTTTTGACTAGGCAACTCAGTATTATTGACCATAGTGACCAAGCTGTTTATTATATACTCGTGGCTTATTTATAACTGTAAGTTTATACCTTTTGACCTCTTTTACCCATTTGCTCCACCTCCCACCCCACCCCTGCCTTTGGCAATCACCAATCTGTCTTCTGTACGTAAGAGCTAGATTTTTGCTTTATTTTGTTTTATTTTCCTTTTTAAAAATGATAACTTTAAATGGATGCCCCCACCTCAGTGTTTCCATTCGTGGAAAACAACACATTTGAACAACTACAACGTTTTTACTCCTCAACACTCTCTCCTTTTCCACCTTTATTCCCATGAAGTGCACATGAAACCATCATATTTCAAAATTTATGCCTTAGAACCTCTCTCATGTTTTCTCTGTGCTGAATTTCTCATTACTAAATTAGCCAACAGCAAATTTTATGTGGAAACACAGAGCATCAAAGTATGATAATATAAGCAAAACACTGACATTGAAAGAATATGTATGTCCTCATTTCCTCAGAAGGCAAAAAAGTATTTATGTTCCTTCATAGTCAAGAGAGGATTGCAAAGAACTCTCTTAATTAGAAAGCAGCACAGAATCAGGTAATCTTGTATTTATTTATAGGGATAATGACAGGTTTCCATTCTTGCAAAAGTCATTGTTACTAAGCCAAAAATGAGTATTTAAACACAAAATACAGGATTAACTTCAGTCAAGTCTTCCCATATCCAACTGGCTAGTGTTGATAGTAAGATTTATACGGTCCTAACCTGGAGGTAAAATACACACACACACACACACACACCTCAAATAAGCACGTAGCTTGGCATAGCTGAAGGAGTGTCTTTCCATCAGACCCAGGCACTAGACACTGACGCTTGGCTTGGCTTGCAGATACAAAGTTTCTGCATGCAGAGCCTGCTGTCTAGATTTAATATTAAAAAGAAAAGAATCACCTACGCTTTCCACCTAACTTTCTTGAGGTAAGGCATTATGAGAAGACCTTGTTTGACCAAACTCTTAATTATTCTCATCCAGGGCTGACACTCACAACTTTAGATTAGTAGAAAAATGTGTCATAGGAAAAGGAGGTATTAGTCAAAGAGGACAGTTTCATTTATACAAGATGAGTAAGTTCTAGAGATCTACTGTACAGCACAAAACCTATAGTTAACAATAACATA